AACTTGTGGTAAATAATGCTAAAAAGATTTCTTTGCTCTAGACCTCAGAGCCTTTACTATCCTACTGTGCACTGTAAATCTCCAGGAGAGAGAGTATGAAATGTTCTTTACCTTTATTTGACCACAGAACCCTTTTCTCCCCTTGGGAATATCTATCATCAACTCAACCGTTCTGGGGAGCAGTTTGAGAAACACAGGAGTACAAAATACATTGCTTAAAGCAATAAGGTTTCAACCTACCCACCTTCTGGGGGAACCCTGGTGGTCAGGAGAACAACCTTGGTTGGCAGTTGTGTGCCTTCAAGTTTCAGTTCTGCTTGGCTCAGGACCCAGGAGCCACTCAGGCACAGAGGCCGGTGGTTGTGTTAGAGAAGTGAAATGCTACCAAACCAAGATACGCTTCCTAGAGGGAGGAGGCTGCATAGGGGTGGGGGGAGCATTCATAGAGGGAGAGAGGGGAAGTGGTTTGGCGAGGAGGAAGTCAAAGTTTCCTCCAGCCAAAGGACCTGGGCACAGAATGAGAGGAAAGAACAAAACCCTAATTTGACCCCCAGTGTGCCGTCTCTTTCCCACCTCCATGCTAGTGTCAAAAACTGCTTCATCTCAGAGAAGCCACAAACACAACACACAATGAAAATGAGACACATTTAGAGAACACCAACTCTGCTTGGCTAGAAATTACTTCTCTTGGATGAATTCTATTCTCCCTGGCTTCCCCTGACGCCTGCCTACAGATGTACTTGTATGTCTGAACTTGAACTCATGAGGAAGAAGCACGGTGGAAAGATTTCCAGCACTCTGGTAAAATACTTCCCCTTCAGCTGAGCCCCAGAGCTAAACCCAAACCAGCTCTGTGGGCATTTGCCAGCTGACAGTCCCCAAACCAGAAGTATGTGGCAGATGTGGTCCCTTGCCAAGCTTTTCCATAAGCCAGAGACCTACCACTCAATTACCCTGGAAAAAGTATCCAATTCTGTGTCTGAAAAATTTCTGAAGCATACATGAACTCCATTTTGTCAAAGCTTAGACGTACAAAAGTCTTAAGCATCTTAAGAAGTGTGAACTTCTAGGCACATTAACTTTTTTTTAGATTTTCCACTTCAGCTGTACCAGGACAATGGTGTTATGTCTAATCACCTTTATTGTCCTAAAGGAAAAACAAAGTCAGATTTATATGTTCGTGATGGAAAGTAGCCAATTGTAGAAGAATCGTGGAACCCCATTTTCAAACTCAGGACCACCCAGTAAACAACGTAATTGCAAATACCAGGTACTCCTGCATTGTCATATCCACATTTCTGAGAGGATTGTGCTGGATGTTTCCTCTTGTGTGTACCGAGTCTCCTGTCAGAAAAATGAAAGTATGAGTATGAAATCACGTCTGAAATTAGAAACAGCTGGCGACAGGGAGTGGCCTTGTGTGTACTCTTGCTGATGGCCAGAACCCCCACAGCAGAAAAGGGAGTGGGGCAGGGCTTGGCTTCTATCTCTGACTCCATAGGTTTCTCTTTGTTTCAAGACTCCCCTGGGGCCATGCACAAGGAAGTAGGCCCTACCCAACGTAATTAAACATACACATGTGCTTTTGCTCTTCCATATGGAAGTTAAGGAGTGTTGACATATTTCCACTGCTCCAGCACCGTCCTGTTGTTTTTAAGTTTGATTTTTTTTAACAGCTAAAACATTCACCTGGTTAAAACTCAAAACGATACAACAATATACATATTTAGAGATCAAGTTGCTACCACTGATCCCCTTTTGCCACCCCAAGTAGGCATTTTTATTAGTTTTTAATATATCCTAAGGGTGCTTCTTTATGCCTACACTAATTCATTCTTTCATTCAATTATCTATTTATTGAGCACCTAGTATGTTACACACTACTATATTTTAGGCACCATTTTGGGGTACAACCTTACTGTCATGGAGTAAAACTCCTTACTCTTGTGGAGTTTATCATCTAGAAGAGGATACACAGATAATAAGTAACACAAGAAGTAAGAAAACAATGGAGTAAGGAGGATGGCGTATGGAGGTTTGAAGGGAGCGCATTGCAATTTTAAATAGGACGGTCAGGATAGACTTCAGGGAGAAAGTGACATATTGAGCAAAGTTTGAAGGAGGTGAGGGAGTTAGCTACGTGGGTATCTGCGGGAAGAGCATCCCAGACAGAAGAACAGTCCATCCAAGGGACTTGAGCAGAGTGTGCCTACCATGTTTATGAAGCAGAAAGACCCGTAGCCGGAGTGGAGAGAGAGTGGGAAAGAAGGAGGAGGTGAAGTCAGAGAGGAAGGGTGAAAAGAGAGAGAGTGGATCATGCAGGGCCTATTCTTAGTGTTTGCTCCGAGTGTGAGGCAGTGCCTGTCCCAGATTTTGATCTGGCATATGTTAATGGCGTGTCTCTGGCTGCTGTGTTGAGAACGGACTGTAAAGGAAAAAGGATAGAAGAAGGGAGAGGCTGCTTTGGAGGCCACTACAATAATCCCAGCAAGGGGAGATGGTGGCTCAAACAAGGTTGGGAGCAGTGAAAGTATTAAGTGGTCAGATTCAGGGCATGTTTTTGAAGTAACTACTAATGGATTGTGTGTTGGGTGTGGGGGAAAGAGAAGAGTCCATGATAAAACTCCCAAGATTTTTGACCTGTGCAATTGGGAAAATAGAATTGCCATTAGCTGAGATGGAAAATTAGGGAGAGAAGTTCAAAGATTAGGGCGCCTGGGTGGCTCAGTAGGTTAAGCGGCCAACTTCGGCTCGGGTCATGATCTCACATTTTGTGAGGTCAAGCCCTGTGTCAGGCTCTGTGCTGACAGTTCGGAGCCTGGAGCCTTCTTTGGATTCTGTGTCTCCCTCTCTCTCTGCCCTTCTCCCGCTCACACTCTGTCTCTCTCTCAAGAATAAATAAACATTTAAAAGAAAAAAGTTAAAAAAAATAAAGAATTTAATTATGCACAAGTGATGTTTGAAATACCTTTTAGGGGTGCCTGGGTGGCTCAGTTAGTTAAGCATCCAACTCAATTTTGGCTCAGGTCATGATCTCACAGTCGTGAGATCAAGACTGCTTAGGATTCTCTCTCTCACTCTCCCTCTGTCTCTCTATCTCAAAATATAATTAATTAGTTTTAAAAAACGAAAAGAAAACCCTTTTAGACATCCAAGAAGAGATGCCAAGTGAGTATTAGATCTCAATTTGAAGGTTGTCCGCATATGGATGGTATTTAGCTATGAGACTACATAAGATAGCCAAGGAAGTGAGCGTAGATAGAAAAAAAGGAGGTGAACCAAGGGCTGAGTCCTAGGACACTCTTATGTTAAGTTCCGGGGTGGGGAGGGGAGCCTGGGTGACTCAGTCCGTTAAGTGTCTGACTCTTGATTTCGGCTCAGGTCATAATCTCACGGTTCATGAATTCGAGCCCTGTCAGGCTCTGCACTGACAGCATGGAGTCTGCTTGGAATTCTCTCTCTCTCCCTCTCTCTATGCCCCTCCCCTGCTCTCTTGCTCTCTCTCTCTCTCTCTCTGTCTCAAAATAAATAAACTTAAAACAAAACAAACAAAAAGAGAGCTGGGGGAGAGGACAAGGAGAACCAGCAAAAGGGACTTAGAAGGAGCAGACACTGAGGTAGAGGAAAACTAGGACAGTGGTGTCCCAACATCTAGTGATGAAAGTTTCTCAAGCAGAAGGAATGTGACAAATTGTGTGAAATGCTTCTGGTAGTCAGGTAAAAACAATGTTTTTAGTCATGTTGAGGTCACTGGTGTTTATAACAAAATCAGGTTCAGGGGAGTGATGGGGAGGAAAGCTGGGTGAGTGGGCTTACGAAGGATTTGGAGAGAAGTCACAGCCAGCCAGGATAGGCCTTTCTTCCTGAGAGTTTTGCTAAAAAGGGAGCAAAAAAAATGAAGCAATAGCTGACAGGGGAAGTGGGGTCAAAAGCAGGATTTTATGAGGTGGGAGAGATAACGTGAACTATTGTGAATGATCCAAGAAAGAGGGGAGAAGTGATATTGGAGAACACTGGCATTCTGGAGCAATAATCTTGAGTAGGCTTGAGGGGATATCCCCTCATTTAATATTTATCATGTCTTTGTTATAAAACATAACATGTTATATTCACTTTTCTTCACCTTGCATTTTTCACATAGAAATCAAGAGTTCTTAGGGCACCTGGGTGGCTCAGTCGGTTAAGTGTCCAACTTCGGCTCAGGTCATGATCTCATGGTTCGCGGGCTCAAGCCCCGCATCAGGCTCTTTGCTGACAGCTCAGAGCCTAGAGCCTGCTTCAGATACTGTGTCTCCATCTATCTCTCTCTCTGCCCCCCCCCCCGCTCATGCTCTGTCTCTCTATCTCTAAAAAATAAAAATAAACATTAAAAAAATTGGAAAAAAAATCTATGGTTCTTTTCCTATTAGCACATGGGGAGGTTTCTTTCCAGAGATGCATACTATTCCATTGGAATACCATAGTTTATATGTTGCTTCCAAGCTTCTGCTGTCCTAAACAATGCTTCTCTGAATAAATGCATGTATGCCTCATCTTGTATGTGTCAGCCTATTGCTGCTTCAATCCAGGAGCTAAAGTTCATAGCCTGTCAGCCCTCAACATTTCTAGTCTGTAGCTGTAACTATAATAGCTCTTCATTTATTTATGTTAACTATATTAGGCCAAAATAATTGTTCAGATACTTAATGACTTAGTGAAAATAGATATCATGTAGGATCAATAATAACATTTGATTTGGGATCATTAGTTAGGATAACAGAATATTGTTCGTGGGGCTTCAGAGATACTTTTCCAAATCTTTTCATTAGGACTCTTGTTGTAGATCTTCCTTATTCCTATGTTCTGGAGGACCCTGTGTCCTCAGCCACTTCCTCCCCTCCCCCCTCCTCACCCGTTAAGTTTTGTGGATTTGGAAATAACAGCTTCTTGTGTCCAGTGTAATGCCATTAATCATTGTTCAGTGTTTCATGATACTAGCATCATTATGTTTCTCCCCCTAGACCTTTGGAAGCACCATGTCATGAAAGAAAACTTTTCAGTTATCAGACCACAAATAGTTGAAAAATTTGTACAGAGATTAATGGAAAATTACCAGGATGGTGGACTAGAGGTATGTATTGAAAGTTAGTCATTTTGGAGTGTATTTTTTTTGTAACATTAACCCAAGCAAAGAAGACTTTCCCCTTGACCCATTTCCCAATGCTTCCCTTATTCCCTTAGAATGAATATATGAACACTCAGGCTTAAAGTAGCAATCACTTGTTATAATTTTAATTTTGGGAAAAGACTGATTTCTAATAAATTAGAAGAGAGAAATTCGAAGATGCATGTTGACTAATTTCAGATTCAGCCAACTTTTTAAAGTAACCTTGGAGTTTGTTGATGAATGAGTTGTTTTAGCAACATTTCCTGCATTGATTTTTTAATATTCAAAACTTAAAAGAGAGAAACTAAAATAGCCAATAATTCCACTAACTGGAAAACATTTTTAAAATGTACAATACAAAAAAACAAACAAACAAACAAACAAACAACAGAAAGGTAACATTTCCAACCCTCCTTATTCCACCATCCCGTTTCCTCTCCACAAAGCAAACCAGTTTCAACAATTTTTGGTATATATCTATTTGAATCCATAACAAGTCTATATAATATATATTTAACAATAATATGTACTTAATACATACAATATACATACACACAGTCCTTAAAGTTTTCAACTGTTTACTCTTGACTATTCCTAAATAGTGCTGAAAAGGCAAGATAAGAGAGTGTATGTGGATATTTGGCCATAGCAGAGCTTTTAGGATCATTAACAAATTAAACATAAGTACATTAGGTAGAAACAAATCCAGTTGCCTTTGAAATTCAACCATTTCTTTAAAAACCTGATTTAGCAAAACATACCTAATTTTTTAAAACAACATTTCCCTCAAATTTATATTTTTCTAAGTTCTTCAAATATTCCCCGTAATTTTATTAACAACACTTCAGTTTTTAATTACGAGACAGAGAATTCACTAGCTTGGTTGGGGATACATTTTTCCTCAGAGCTTAATGATTTATTTACATGTATTTCATTTAAGCTTTCAATGATACCCAAATGTAGTACTGTGTATTCTGATGAATGGGTGAAGTGGTCCCTTTTGGTCTCTGCAGCTCAGAGATTCTCAACCAGAGATACAGAGGTGATTAGGGCAGGGCATGCTCAGAAACGTGTTTGAAGCACAGACTGTTGTGCCTCTCCTTTAAAAAAAGGAAGGCAACCCTGACACATGCTTCATCATGGATGCACCTTGAAGACCTTATGCTCAGTGAAAAAAGCCAGTCACAAAAGCATAAATTCTGCACGATTCCACTTATATGAGGCACCCACAGTAGTCAAATTCATGGAGACAGAAAGTAGAATGGTGGTTGTTAGGAGCTGGGGGGAGGGCGAATGGGGAGTTGGTGTTCAGTGGGTATAAGAATTTCAGTTTTGCAAGCTGAAGACAGTTCTAGAGATCGATTGTGCAACAGTGTGAATACCACTGGACTTTACACTGAAAAATAGTTTAAATGGGGGCGCCTGGATGGCTCAGTTGGTTAAGCGTTTGACTCTTGATTTCAGCTCAGGCCATGATATCAGGGTTGTGAGTTCAAGCCCCACATTGGGCTCCATGCTGGGTGTGGAGCCTACTTACAAAAATAAATGGTTTAAATGGCAAATTTTACGTTACATATATTTTACTACAATAAAAACAAACAAGAAGGTTGTAGCTCAAGATCTGCTCCCCTCCTATGCATACACTTTACTCCAACACTGAAGATGGGGTCATCTAGGAAAGAAATGAGAGTATTAGGACAAACCCATATCAGGTGTGACTGAAACTCAAGGCACACTGATCAGGTTGGTACCTGCCTGCCAGTGTCTTGGAATAATGAGACGCCAGGACGTTAGACCCCTCCAAATTCTATGCCTGGTGGACTTCTAGCCTTTTCTGAATGATCTGCGAAGACAGGGAACTCACTCTCTTCCAAGCCCACCCCGTATCCCCAGCCATTCCTGGCAGCTCATATTTCAAACAGCTTTTACTGAGCTGGATTTGGCCTTCCACCACCTCCATCGTGGATCCTAGTTCTGTCCCTGGAACACCACAGATCATGGTTCTGACCCCTCACAACAAGCCTTTGGATATCTAAGGGCAGGTCAGTCAGAGAAGCTCAATTACTGCCACTGCTGGCATGTGTGAAGCCTCGTACAATTACAATGAGGGGCCTGCTCTAGTAGCACAAACCCAGACAGGTGCACCTCTGCGCGGTGGATTACAAATAGTCACCCCTTCCTCCAGACGGGTGCATCCAAGCCAGGGCACATGGACTAGGAAAGAGAGCAGGCGCCACGCTCCTCCCTAAACTGGGTGCTTCTGTACCAAGTACAGACCGCACACGCATACATTGAGGACCTGAGCCCAGCCTTCTCTTCTTCAGACTAAACTGCCTTCCTTTCCTTTGATCACTTTATATGAGCAACTCTACCATCCTGGTCAGTCCCCTCTAAGTTCAAGATTGTCTGACCGGCAAAGAGTGCACTTGTCCTGTGTGCCCTTTGATTAATGCCCATGAGTGTGCCTGGTATTGGGAGCCACGTCACAGATGACTTATTAGGCTGACAGTCACCTGAAGCCCACATTGCCTTCAGGCATCCTGCTGCTGCCATATTATTAGCCTTGGTCTTGTTCAACTTGGTCCACGGTGAACTTCTTAAAATCCTTAAAAATCTGGATTTTTATCATTCAGCACTCTCTCCCTCTCCCAGGTTCTTGTCAGCCTGCCCTCAGTATTCTCATTCAAGTCATTACTAACCGTGTATGCCAGGACAGGTCCCAATCCTTGTGCTACCCCTATGGTCACCTTCAGGCTGACCACACTCTTTGGACACAGTCTTTCAGTGGTCAGAAGCCCATCCAGTTGTACTGTCACCCAGCCTGTGTTCTCCACTGGTCCACAAGGTCCAGTGGAGAAACCTTTTAGATGTCCTGCTGAAATCCAGATACACTTCAAGTGCTATATATTTTCTGAGGAAAGGTTAATCTGACCTGATTTTTCTTGAGTCCATATTGGCCTCTAGTGATCTTTGCTTCCCTCCCCAAATTCTAGAAAAACAGCCTTTCACCATCAGTTCTAACATCTTGCTCAAATGTCATACTAAACACACCGACCTGAAGTTAGAGACTGACCCTTATGGCAAATCAGAACTATAATAGTCTGTTGTGTGGATTCCAGAACCATCTCCATTCATATGTCAAAAGTCATTCACTCATTTACCAAGTATTTATAGATCTCCTATTTTTTTCTAGGCACTTTGTTAGATTAAAGGCAAAAGGTACAGTTCTTGCCCTCAAAGAACTTATGGAACCAGGTGACCCAGGCGTGTCAAGAAAAGGCACTTCATGTTAAATGCTTTGAAAGAGGCATACACAGGGGATATAACCCAGCTAGCAGGTAGGGAAGAAATGGGGAAGACTTCCTGGAGGAGGTGTTGTTTGGGCCAAGTCTTAAGGCACAAATAAGAGTTGGCCAGATGAAGAGGGGTTGAAGAAGGAAGGCAGAGCAATCTAAGAAGGGAGTATAGCAGAGTTCAAAAGAAGACACTGAAAAAGTGGGCAGGGCCAGTTGCTGAATGACATTGTAGGCAATCCTTAGGAGTTTGGATGTTATCCTAGAGTCAGTGGGAAATCATTGAAGCATCTTGTCAGCAGAGGTGGGTTTTATAAACATCATCAAAACACCTTGTATGTGCCTGATAGATACTAGATGAATTATGAGGGGCTTCAAGAAGAAGCAAACCACAGAAGGGCAATTTGCTTCCAGCAGAGCCAGACTTTTGCCATAACAAGGCCTAGCACCTGCCATGCTTCACCCCAGGCTGGCTCTCTAGATCAGTCTATGGGGCAATCTGGTGCTTTTCCAGCCAGTGCCATTCATCATAGCTCAGATTTAACTGTTGGTGAAGGAATCAGGCCACTGGAGAACATGATTTTCACTCTGTAGTTTTTATGGAAGCCAGGGGCCTGCCTTGAAGGGGAAGTTGGCAGATGAACCACTTCATGCTGCATTTTGGCACAGAGCTGGCATTTAGTGACCTAGGAAGGCAAGAGTAGGCTGCAGAACAGCTTTTAAGAAACAAATTGCTCTGGGGACACCTGGGTGGCTCAGTAGGTTGAGTGTCCCACTTCAGATCAGGTCATGATCTTACAGTTGGTGAATTTGAGCCCCGCGTAGGGTTCATAGAAAAAATTATGTCAATAGAAGCCACACAGGCTGTAGTCCCACAGCAGATGCTGTTCAGGCAGCTCCAAAGGCTGCCTCTGGAAGGCTGAGTAAGTCTGCAAAATCAAAGTTCACTTGGAGAGAGAGACTCCTAGGAGCTTAGGAGTCTCCCTGTAACTCTCTGTTACCTGTCAATAACAGTTTCCTGTCTGCCCCACCTCAGACTTGCTCCCCACTCCATGTCCCCACTGCAAATGCTCTGGCTGGGCCCTTATCCCCTCTCCTTGCCTTCACACTCACCCTCTATGCATCATCCTCTTGAGTTGATCTTTCAGCTCAATCTCCTGAGGCCCCAACAGAACCACTGAGGGAAGGAAGCAACACAATTTCTCTGGCCTCCAGGGATACCCAAGGGGGCTCCTGGCCATTCCTACCTCTGTGGTGTAACACAGAGACTCACCCAGAGGTGCCTCACCCTTACTAGGTAAAATATCACACTGGCTAAGAGGGAATGGTAGAGGGCCATTGTGGTTCAAGTCTGCATTTCTGTTTGTTTGGGATCCTATATCTACTATGGTGGCTATAATGACATTAGTTTGAGAAGTGTTTGCCCTGCTAAAAAGCCGTTGGAGGCCTGGCTGGCACAGTCGGATCCAGACACTGCTGTCCAGGACAGCAAGGGGTGAGTCACTGTGGCCGATTCCAAGCACTGGGTCCAGGCCACCTGGAAAGGGTCACCAGCCTTGATGGCCTTTAATGTGGTTTCGCAATGTCTCAACGTTTCAGGCTTTCATCATACTTTGTCTGGGAAGTATTTCCTTTGTCGTTACTAAGTTCACATAGCCTTGACCCTTTCACCATAAAGAAGTCAAGGGCCATCAATCTTGATTCCCTTTGCCTTGGTGTCAAAAGCTAAGTCCAACTGTCTTACTGATCACTTTCCAGAGCAGGTTAGATTGCCCCAAATCCTATTCCACTAAAAGGGGCCCCTTGAGGAAGCCCCAGAGAATGAGAGAGGGAGGCTATGTGTCCTCCTCTGATTGCCTGGCCCTGCTCATGAAATCCCCCATGAGCAGAGGTGTTCATCCACTGTTTCCATTCTACATCTCTTCAGTGTGCCTTGCCAAGCTGCTGTGGATCATGATCTTTACAAAAGCTTTACTATCTTTTCATTAGGTTATACATTTTGTTTATTTGTACATTTTATATATAATTATCTTCATTATATAAACATGTTATGATTATATTAGAAAATAGAAATATGATATATTAGAAAATACACTCATTAGCTTACCCTCATTGATAACTACTATTAGTGTTTCGCATATTTCCTTCCAAACTTCATTTATAGTTTTTTTTCATTCATCAACATTTTTTAAGCCAAGTTAGATTATTCTATATGCCCTTTTATTGTAGTGTACTTTTTTTTCACTTGAGTACATGTTATCAACATGTTCCTCTGTCAATAAACATATGTGCACAGCATAATTTTTGGTGGCGGTTTGATATTTCATTGTACAGATGGATGAAAAATATTCAACCTGTTTCCCTTTATTAGTCACTTTTGGTTGTTGCCATTTCTCTCTTCTGTTAGAAAGATCAAGGACATCTGTTTACATATATTTTTGTGTATCACTTTTATCATCCCCTAAAGATAAAGTTCTAGAAGAGGAATTACTGAGCCAAAGGGCATGAACATTTTAAAATCTTTTCACAGATACAGGGGCGCCTGGGTGGCGCAGTCGGTTAAGCGTCCGACTTCAGCCAGGTCACAATCTCGTGGTCCGTGAGTTCGAGCCCTGCGTCAGGCTCTGGGCTGATGGCTCGGAGCCTGGAGCCTGTTTCCGATTCTGTGTCTCCCTCTCTCTCTGCCCCTCCCCCGTTCATGCTCTGTCTCTCTCTGTCCCAAAAATAAACAAAAAACGTTGAAAAAAAATTAAAAAAAAAAATAATAATAAATAAATAAATAAATAAATAAATAAATAAATAAATAAAATCTTTTCACAGATACAGCTAGTCTGCCCTCCAGAATGCCACATTGATCACCCTTGCCATCAGCAGTGGTGAGCAGGCTGTTTCCCTCCATCAGTACTGCATTTTATCACTATTTTCCGTCTCTGCTACTTTGCCTCAATAACTTGCCTTGACAAAGCCTGGCTGTGCTTTCTCTGAAAGTCAGTGGGGACACTGAGGTTGCACTGATAGGACCATGAACTGGGGCTCACTGGGCCACAGGACCCACCCCAGAAGGACAGCTTAGCTTCTGTGGCAGACTGCCACTAAGCCTGGAGCCCTCGTGACCCTGAAGTATCACAGATAAAGCTCATGTAAGCCTGCAGGCTGGGTCTTGGATTGGGCCCCCAAAGACCCCCAGATACACACACAGACACACTCAGTGATACACACAAAGGGTCACACATAGACACAGAGATATATACAGACATTCACAGAGACATACATGAGAGACATAGATACACATACACATATACACTAATGCATACAGACACAGGCGCACAATCATATCCTTAAATGCACACAGATGCACTCACTGATACAGACACATAGAGACACACAAAAACACTCATAGACATGCAGGCCCTAGTCAAGGTAGGTTGGTCATATCTTCTACATATTGGTTCCCATTTCTCTCCACAGATTAAATCTAACCTTGCCTTGGAGGGGTGGACTCTTCTTCTGTTCCTTAATGGTTATCTCTTCAAAAGGATGCCCAATTTCTTAGAGAAAGGGGAAGAAATGGGACTGCCAAGAGAATGAGCAGTATGACCCTTCAATCAGAGCTAGAGGGGTCCCTGCCAGGTGCTCATACTTCAGAGAGCCCCTCTGGTTTTTCTCCTTTCACTCTTCCTCACAGGGTGAGAAATACCCACAGCCAAGGGGACATGCCCACTCAGATCCCTGGCCCTCCTTCTAGACCACACTTCAGGTACCTGGGACCCTGGAATTCTCCCTGGAAAGTCCCCAGATCCTGCTCCCCAGAGGGAGAGTGGACCTTACTGCCAGTGTGCATACCCTGGCCTAAGGAGTAGTCAAGGGTGGCTGTGTAGAGGCATAGACAGCTGACTGTCCATTTACATGCATGTGAGGGCCCTCTACAGTATGACGTGAAGCCAGAGGTAGAAAGAGAAGGGTGTCATGCTGTAAACTCTAGGTTGGTGACCAGCTCACTCCACATCACCACATTTCAGCATAGAACACAGACGTCCAAGCCTGACCTTCCAAACAATTTTGAAGATCTATTTTTCAAAGTAGGAGAATTAATAGTTTGTTAGTTTGATTTCCAACCTTTAAGCATCTAGAATGCTTAGGTATGTGGCAGGTGGGCCTCCATTTGTACTCTTGTCCCCGCCCTGCAAATACTAAGAGCAGACTTGAAAGAGAGACTTGGAAGGGTAGAGCCCATGTTTTCTATGGAGGAGAACTAGACATGGGTCTGTGAGCCAAGGCAACGTGTGCCATGAGCCCTGGCACAGTGAGGCTGTCCTGCTGGAGCTGCTATGAATGATGCCCCTTCCTTTTCAGATCACTTTCAGGAAAGAGCACCTTGAGGCCTGCCTCCTTTCCCTGGGTTGTGATGTGATGGCAAGAGAACGCAGCAACTTCGAGAGCTACTCCATGTATTACGAGCATGTGTTGGAGCATGCTAGGCAGAAGCTCTGCCAGAAAGAACAAGTACGTTCCCAGAGAGACAGGAAGTGTGATGGGGAAGGTGTGGATAGGAAAGCCTGGGAGTTACTCCAAAGAGAATAGAACAGAGGGTAGGGGAGGTGTTCTTATGCAAGAACTGAGAATGATTGGTACTCTCCAATGTCTCTTCTCACTGGCTCATTTTCTTGGGCTCTGGTATTATCAGCTGCAAGAGTGATGGCTCAGAAACACTGGGTTGTGTGCTTTGGAGGTGTCTAGTGGAGAATATAAAAAGTTAGCGACAAAGGAACAGGTCGCCACCCCACCCCCACACCCCCTTCCCTCCCCCAGGGAAAATGCATAACTGACCTTCCCACCTAAGCAACCCCAAAGTACCTTGTGCTGTCCATGGTCTAGCCTAGAAGCCAGGATCCTTGAATAAACTCTGTCTTCAGGATGCACTTCATGGGTCTCATTAATGAGACTTCCTTAAAATGAGATCCCACTGGTGGGATCCAAGGGTCACTTCTCCTGTCCTAATTGCACACCGTTTTAAAATGGATTGCTTCAGAGGTTTGGTGTAATTTTACTTTTCACCTAAGAAAAGTGCAAAAGCCTGAAAAAAAAATCAAATGAAGCATTCAAATATCAAACGAGTCTTGGCCTCACCCCCAGTTTGGCTTATCCACATAGCCAAGTCTTCTGCATTAGTGTGGACACCTGGAAGTTCATGCTGCCTTTAGATCTCATGTTGGGCATCCTAAAATCCGATGGGACCACAAGCACAGTCCTGACTCCAGGTGGAGCTTAAGGAGCTCAAAATGAAGCTCCATTAACACAAATGGGAGGTGTCTGGAGCATGGTGTCCTGAACTGAGCCATGGTTGGAAGAACAAATGGTTGAGTTTGGTTGTACATTCTTTTCTCCTCTTCAGGAATTAGATCTTATACGAAGAGGTTCGGGTCCTCCTGAAGACAAAGCTGGTCAGGTAGGTTAGTTATTACCAAAAAGTTTCTCTTCTCCACCTCACAGATCCACAATCTCAACAGTAGGAAGACAGGAAACTTCCTAGTATTATTTTCTTGTGCCCTGTAGAAGTCCCATCAATGAAGATCCACTGCAGAAACACCTAAGGAGTGTGTTTTCACTTTTTAAGCAATAAGGGCTTTCTTTTTCTTAGCTTTTTGGTGGTTGTTGTTTTTTGTATTGCTTTGACTTATATTTTTCTTGCTATTTTTTGGGTTGGGGCAGAGGACTTTTCCCCCAAACAAGAGGTATTGAGGCTGAGGTGTCAAGAAAGGCCAATTTGCAAATGGAGACCAAGAGAGCGGAAGTATTTTATCCGATTAAAAAGTGCTTAAAGGGGCGCCTGGGTGGCTCAGTCAGTTAAGCGTCCGACTTCAGCTCAGGTCACGATCTTGCAGTCCGTGAGTTCGAGCCCCACGTCGGGCTCTGGGCTGATGGCTCAGAGCCTGGAGCCTGCTTCCGATTCTGTGTCTCCCTCTCTCTCTGCCCCTCCCCCGTTCATGCTCTGTCTCTCTCTGTTCCAAAAATAAATAAACGTTAAAAAAAAATTTTTTTTTAAAGTGCTTAAATGTGCCTCTTCTGGGAACACTTATATATATGCCCTCATATAATAGGCAACCATTTATTGAATACCTATTATACGTCTGGCACCGTTCTGAGACCCATAAACCAACCTTCAATTCTGCCACCCATATTTGTACAACAGGATGTTCACCTCTTTCATCAGCTTCAAGGTAGAAGAGCAAATTCGACGCTGATATGCAAAGAACTATTTTGTAGTGACAGTTTGGAATTTTTGAGTTATTTTCCATTAAACAATATTTGTGCTGTTAGGTTGCAGAGCTCAGTCATAATATGATCATGGAAATCACTGCTCTGAGAGCTCGACTCACAGATTTGGAAGAAGAAAATCTGAATCTCAAAGAGAAGATTAGAAAAGAAGTCCAAGAAGAATATGAAGCATTAGTTCAGGCTCTGTTTATGACATGTTTAGACATAAAAGTAAGTGACCCTGTGTCGGACGTCTGGACAGTCCTGTGGGAGCCAAGTGTTAATGACCTCCACAGCCACTGAACACAGAGTGGTCACAATGACAGAATGGGCTTTGTGGTAACCAGAGCCTGTTGGGCCCAAGAATTCTCTGGCTCTGAGTGTTCACTTCAGAGAGGGGGTCAGCAATGGGTTCTCATTATTTTACCACGATAGACACTAAATTTTAGGTAATTTAGTTATTTGCTGTTTTCCCCACTCTGCTGCCAAGGGCCATTGTTGCCATCTGATTGCTGTGAAGGACAGGTGGGGGGTGTCTTCTCCAAAACCCCCAATGGTTAATATCACTGTTTGTCTACTGAGTGTGACCATCCAAGCAGGAGAGTGCAGTGCTCTAAGCCAGGACAGACCCTGGTGTAGGTAGCAACTGGCACCTCCTGAAAGCTCACTGGACAGATTCAGAATTTGAATTAGCTGTCAGTGATTTTTTTCTGGCCTTCAAATGCCCACCAGTCTTTCTCTCACGTCCAGTGTCGGGCAGCTGCTGACCTGTAAGTGAAGGTCCATCCAGAAAAGGAGCAATGGGGTGCCTGTGTGCCCACGGCACTGTAGAAGCCTGTCACTTTCTTATGATGTCTGAAGAGCTATAAGATGGAGGCCCCATGCCTAAAATGGGCCATCACAGAGCCTGGTCCAGCTGCCCCAAAATTGTGAATTTCACTACAAACCCGCCCCCTCTCTTGCTATTGGATGTTTCCCAGAGCCAGCCCCCAGTGGGTCCTTACTTCACTGTCTCTCCTGGAGGATTCTGGGTCCCTGAAGTTGTTACATTGACAGGAGCTTCCACCAGAGCTCTGCCTTGGCATGGTCATTCCAGAGAGGACCAGAGATTCCTCCTCACTTATGAAGGGTCCATAAAACACAAGTGCTTACAAATATTAAAGAATCGAAACCAAAATGCATTGGGCCTGGTATTGCAGGAGAACAGACAGTGAAGTCTGGAATTGCTAAGTCATCTTCCAGGTATGAAATTATTGAAAAATTTCTTAATTTTTTTTTTAACTTATGCCAGATTCCTAGACAGAAAGTGGATTCTCTACTTCTCCCAGGCTAACCTAGTTCTGCAGGCCACCTGAAGCAGAGACTCTCTGTTCTACCCCAGACTCTTAAGTAGGTGGGGAAGCTTTCTCTGCGTGGCCAGGAGCCAGACTTCCTGCCATGGCTGCCCAGCTGGGCACTATCTTCCTGCTTTCCTCTCCAGGAAAATGGTTCAGAGATGAGAGGACACCCAACTCTACCCTTCACCGGAGGATGCTGGGTCTGTAGTTGTACTTAGCAATGATCAAGCTGTTCCACCAAAAGCTGTTATCCACAAGCCATTCAGAACAGACTATTTCATAATGAGACTTCTGCTAAAACCGAAATGGGAAAGTAGCCAGCCTGATTCCTTCCTCTACTGTATTTTTAATGTAGTTCCTCATTAGTGGCTCATCTATATAGTGTTTTATCTGGTCAGATTCTGCTGAGTCAACCTGATTGCAAAAACCCCTAGGTTCAAATTCTCAAGTAACCCTTTGGAGGAGGAGGAGTGACTCAGTTTTCCACCTGTGACCTTCCACTCTTCTATCCATTCAACTTAACTTGGCATCTGGTAACTTAGGCTCTAAGACATGTAGGGTCTATCTGATGAAGCCCTGTGGACTGAAGACAATAGTAAAGGGGGCTGATAGGGAGACTTCCAGATAATACCTGATAGAATAATTGGGTGGATGATTTTTTTTTCCATGTGAAATCATTTCTGAAAGTTAGCTTTTAGAAGGCAAAATGACTCTTCCTCTACTGTCCTTCCTGAACTTGAGTCTGCAATTTGCAGGAAAAACTGGATGAGAATCAGATGAATTTGATCCAGAAAGTGTGTGAGCTCATTGGCGAAGTAAGAACAGAAGGGATTGACAATATGAAGGCCCTAAAGAAAAAATGGGGCTCTGCCAGACCTGATGAAGGAATGAAAGAAAACCCAGCCAAAGTACGTGATTTCATTTAGCGATAGGATATCAGCATTTCATCTCAGCATCTGACCCTACCGCTCACTCTGTATGCATTCCAGTCTGGTTTCCCTGAGAAAGCATTGCATCAGACATTTTAAAAGGGCACCAGGGCTCACAGCACACTTGTGTTATCTTCTGGAAGGCACGTTTTTTTTTTTCTTTTTAAAGTTTTTATTTATTGTGTGTGTGTGTGTGAGAGAGAGAGACAGAGACAGAGAGACAGAGACAGAGAGACAGAGAAAAAAAATATGTGAGTGGGGGAGGGGCAGAGAGAGAGGGAGAGAGAATCCCAGGCAGGTTCTTCACTGCCAGCACAGAGCCTGACACGGGACTCAAACTCACAGACTGTGAGATCATGACCTGAGCCAAAACCAAGAGTCAGACGCTTGGGGCGCCTGGGTGTCTCAGTCGGTTAAGCATCCGACTCTTCGACTCTTGATTTCCACATTTCCAGTCAGGTCATGATCTCACAGTTTGTGATATCAAGCCTCTCCACCCCTCCCCAGGGCTCTGCACTGACAGTGTGGAGCCCGCGTAGGATTCTCTCTCTCCTCTCTCTGCCCCTCCCCCACTTGCACTCTCACTCTCTTTCAAAATAAATAAATAAACATCAGAAAAAAAAAAAAGGCTGAGCCACCCAGGTGCCCCAAGGCCTGTCTCTGATGTTAGAATCTGTGCCCTTCCCATGGGGGCAGAGTTTTCTGAAAGTAAGCCTTTCTCAGCAGGAGCAGCTGCACGCCTTGGAGCAAGACAACTGCCGCCTGTCTGCCCTGGTGTGCAAAGTGAGGAGCCTGGGCCACTGGAGGTTGGCTGTGCAGCGGGCTCGCTTCCAGGGCCAGCTGAACAGGGCAGAGAAGGTGAGTGTTAGGAGAGGGAGGCCCGCCCACCCCGCACAGCAGGGAGTGACTGACGAGGTGGGGGGCTGGCTGACCTGGGGGGCTGGTCTTGCCCTGGTGTTGGCAAGACCAACCATCTTAACGGATCTGACAGTCGACAGTCGACAGTCGGGGAGTTTTCCAGGGAAGTGACTGAATGTCAGAGCCCCCAGAGAAATAGGAAAGAGCCAGAAGCCAATGGCAAAGAAGCAAATGGGAGAACAGAGAGTCTAGCATGAGAAAAGGGGAAAAATGGAGGGGGGACATCACCAAGGGTTTGAGGCAGCTTCATCCAAACACCGTAAATCTTTGAGTTTTCAGACATGATTATCTGAGGAAAATGGAGTAACAAAATAAGTGGAAAATCAGCTTCAAGGCAAATTGGAACCAAAGCACATAGAAATAGTGGTTTGGAAACTTTCACTTAGTGTTTCTGAAAGTCCCTATTTGCTCTGCCACACTGTTCTTCAGTGAGGACACAGAGAAGGCGACTAGAGCTTCTTTCTACCAGAAGTGGTTTTTTTTTTTTTTAATGTTTATTTATTTTTAAGAGAGACAGAGAACAAGAACATGAGTCAGGGAGGGGCAGAGAGAGAGGGAGACAGAGGATCTGAAGTAGGCTCGGACAATGACAACAGTGACCCTGACCTGAGGCTCGAACTCACAAACCGTGAGATCATGCCTGAGCCAACTGAGCCACCCAAGTACCCCTCTACCGGAAGTTTTTAAAAATGATGGATAATGAAGGGGTTTAGAGACTCTTCTGAAATGAAAACTATGGAAAGGAAACTTATTTCCTATCTTACTGTGTTTGGGGGTGTTCACAGGAAGCCATGCAAAGTAAAAAAGAGTGTTTGACCATCAAGCTGATGGCAGAACGAGAAGCGGTTTTATTTCATCAGCAGTTAGGGGTGCTACGGCAGGCCCTGGCCGGGGCTCAGGCCGCCAACACCAGGATGCGCAAGCAGCAGGATAACCAGGTATCCGAACACCGGAATCCCTCTTCCTCCTTCCCTTTGAGCTCGCTCTGCAAAGCTGACTGTGGCCCTGGAAGCAGCACCCTGCCTCCTGCAGCAGTCACCGGGACTCCACAGCTGAGGCCAAGCAGGAGGCACTGCCAGAGAAAGATGGCCCAGACCTCAGCTTCACTTCTACTTCCTTTCTAGCCCTAGACACCAAGGAGAGTGGCCAAAAGTTGGCTAAGATGGTGAAATACTACCCTTACACAAAAGATCATTCTTCGGTGTGTATGTGTATGTGTTTCTCAGAGGATCTTTTTGCCTAGAGGGCATCTTGGGATGTAGGTCTCTGCCTTTAGCCCAGTCCTTTCATCTCCAAGCACGCTTTCCATCGATAGTGACCTTCTGCACGTGGAGTGTGGCCTAGCCATCAACATTATTCCCCAAACAGAGTCTTGCATTCTTTCCTGATGACCCACCCATACTAAGTCATAATTGCAGAAGTCACTGCTGCTCAATAAGGAGTGGGCACCAAAATGAAGGTGTTTCCAAGTTTAAGCTCTAATAACTGGGCTAACTCTCCAAGCACGAATGAAGCAGAAAGACCCTAGGTTTAGTTTTCTTATTTTTATTTCTTTTAACAGTTTTGTATCTTTTTTTAAGTTTATTTGTTTATTGAGAGAGAAAGAGGAGAGAGAGAGAGAGAGAGAGAGAGAATCCCAAGCAGGCTCCCTGCTGTCAGCACAGAGCCTGATGCAGGGCTCAAATCCACGAACTGTGAGATCACGACCTGAGCTGAAACCAAGAGTCAGATGCCTAACTGGCTGAGCCCCCCAGGTGCCCCAGAAAGACCCTAGGTTTAGAGAGACAAGAGTTGAGTTTAAATAAGAGTCTGGGAAAGCTGGGCATATTTAAAACACGACATATAATTTGTTCCTTTTGGACCTGACATCCTCTGTTATTGTGCACCAGGTGAAGAATGGAGTATAATTATGTAAACTGTAACATCACCATACAAATATTATTAGTATTAGTATTATAATTGAGGATTGGACATCTGGTACTTATGATGCTACTGATTAGAAAAATTTCAAAACAGAACCAAATTATCACTACGCTTTTCCTTCATTAACCATCTGGAACCTGGCTTCCCCAAAGCTATTTTGGAAGTCAAAACAGAGGCAAGATTAGAACCTCCCTTCTCCACTCCCTGCTTTGTATTACATCACTCCTTTCTCCCCAGGCAAACCCTTCCCTGCCATGTCATGATAAATGCTCAATGACAAGGCAAATGTAGTTTGTGGTGGATATAACTATGTGGTTAATAAGTTAAGTAACATACATACTATCATCAAGTTTGGGCATTAAAAGACCCAATTTCTTGACCTGTACAGTGGCATTACCACTTGCCTGGCTTTTGCTCTTTGTTTCCTTTGTTCTCCCCCTGACTGTTGCCTCAGGGCTTACAGTCCAGGCCAAGCTGGCCTAGGTCCTGGTAGTCTTGCTGCCTACTAGCCCAAACAGAAAGGCCAGCCTCTATTACCCTGAGCCCGGGAATATTCCACAGAGTTGCGCCCCTGGGCCCTACTGGAGGGGTTGGCTATTGTGCTGGGCAACTTCTTCCCCACCTTTTGGTGAGAAGAAAGACTCTGCCTTCTTCGTTTCCTTTGGCCTTTTCCTGCCACAGGCTCGATTGCTGAGAGAGCTGCAACACAGAGTGACCGAGGAAGCTCGCCACAGGCAGCAGCTGGATCTAATGAAGGCCTCTGGCATGGAGAAGCTCTTGGAAGATGTGCGGCAAAAGGACCAGCACCTGCAGCTCCTTACTGAAGAGGCAGAGAGGGCTTCGAAACTGGGCCGGCTTCAGCAGAAGAGAACTCAGACAGAACTCCGACAGGTAACTCCCGGGGGAGGTAGCAGCCACTCGAAAGCCAATCGGGGTGCACCAGCCAGAGCTGGCATTCTTCTGGCATTCTCCCTGCCTCTGGTGTCCTCCACCTTTGTCATTTCTAGGCCCACAGGAAAACGGAAATATTTCTGCCCATGTTGGGTGATGCTCAGGTTGCCTATGGTGAGATAGGACGGTTTGACTGCCTCAAGGCCCAGAATCTTGGCACCTTTAGAACCCATGTGGGAAACATGTTTCCATCTGGCTACAATTTCTGAGCTAGGGAATCTTTTAGAAAATTCCAACGGTAATCTGGAAAAGCAGCAAGCATTATGAAAGCTATTATAAGAGGATTTTAGTCAAGGTGTTTCTGGAAATTTAGAGACAAAAAGGAAAGGCAAAAGTGATTTCCAGACACAATATATTTTTGTTAAATATATCCCTACAGCAAGAAAAGAAAAAAACAAACAAAAAAAGAGGAGGAAACGATAGATGTAGATGTGGATTAATGCAGGTTCCAACACAGGAGAGCACAGAATGTAATCCAATACAGAAGGCAAAAGAAATAGCACCTTCCAGAGCAGGCACTTCTCATGTATTCACTGAAGGAATAAATCACTTCATTCACCAGAGATATTAGGAAAGAGAAGTTGGAAAGTTAAATTAAATGATTGGCCAGGGCGCCTGGGTGGCTCAGTTGGTTAAGCATCTGACTTCGTCTCAGGTCATGCATGATCTCACAGCTCGTGAGTTCAAGTCCCATGTGGGGCTTTGTCCTGACAACTCAGAGCCTGAAGCCTGCTTCAGATTGTGTCTCCCTCTCTCTCTGCCCCTCTCCCACTCTCTCTCTCTCTCTCTCAAAAATAAATAAAAACATTTAAAAAATTTTTTAAAAATTAAATCATTGGCCAAGTGTTTCAAGGAGGAAATCAATGGGGAGAAGTCTGCAAAACAAAGGACAAAATTTTAAAAAGGCTAAAAATTGAATTGAGGCAATGCTAGAGAAAATATTTTTGGAGAAATGGAGAGAAAATGAGTAGCTTTAGAATAAAAGAAAAATTAGAATTTCACATTTATTTCATGAAAAATAAACGAAAATATGACTTGAATCCTTAGAAACATTTGGTGTCACATATTTATCTTTCAAATTAGGCTTTTCCAGAAACCAGCACAAAAATAAGGAGTTCATCTCTCTAGTTAATAGCTAATTTTTGTCTAACGGCAGAGATTCTAAAAGCAGTCAAAAACATTTTGAGGCTTCTCTCAACAAATACATGTCTTTAGTGTATATATGTAAAAGCGATCACTGGCTGTTTCTAAACCGCCCTCCACCTCTGCTGGCAGCTCCTGTCCCCTGGGCTTATGGTCTCACTTCTCACCAACTAGCAATCCACCTTCAGCCAGCAAGAGCCCCTATGACCTATGGTGACTTCTTTAGTCCATCTCCAACCTCCAATTCCGAGGGCAGATTTTGACTCTCTGACCTTGGAGAGCATGAATGTCCTCGCCTACCTCCTGTTCCTGGGGACGCTCTAGAGTCAGACTTCCTGATTCACACCCCAGGGCCTTCCACCGCGTAACTTTAGGCTATATCTGTGGTCTCTATGTGCTGTAGTCTTCTCGTTGGTACAGCGGAGAACGATATACTCATTTCACGAGATTTTTAGGAGGATTAAGGTAATTCAGATGAAGCACTAAGATCAGAAACTAATACACAGCTCTTGATAAATATTGACTATATGTCTTTTGGCTGGGAATATGAAGGTGAACACTTTTGGAAACAGACTGACCTGGATCGGTTGTGGGATCTCGGGCACATCTGTGATGTGGGGTGGGGTCCTTTTTAAGGTCCTAACACAACACAAGGTCCTTACTAAGCATGTTTCCTTCCTTTGTTAATATTTTTCCAATTGGTTTAGCCCCAGCCTGGCTCAGAGGTCTTGATAATGTTTTTCTTGATATGGTTTGATATAGTTTGATAAGTCTTGATATGGTTCCTGTCCATGGGGATCGAGGAGCCTACACCAATCCCTGCAGTGCATAGAGGCACCTTGGGCCTAATTTGTATTAGGAAGTTTTCCTAACTCTGGGGATCTGATCTTCTACTGACAGTTACAGTACACTTGAGAGCATCTGCACGCACAAGAAACTGCCCCTTTAACTTTTGTATGATGAGCTGTAGGTTATAGCGTCAAAACCTCACAGGCCTTCTGGTTGGGTCTATGCAGACAAGAGTGTGCTGAATTTTTGAGATTAGCCTGTGGATTAGCTTGCTGGGGCTACTGTAACAAATTGCCACAAACCAGATGGCTTAATACAACAGAGATTTATTCTCTCACAGTTCAGGAGTCCAGAAGCCTGAAATCAAGATGTTGGCTCTTCCTGGGGGCTCTGAGGAAGAGTCTGTTCTATGCCTCTCTTCTGGCTTGTGGTGGCTGCCTGTAGTCCTTGACATTCCTTGGCTGGTGGCTACAGCACTCCAATGTCTGCCTTCCTCATCCGATGGCCTTCTCCCTATGTGTCCCTCTGTGTGTCTGTACCCTTTCCTCGTATAAAAGCATCAGTCATTGTACGTAAGGCACACTCTTAATCCAGTATGACTTCGTCATAACTTAATTACATCTGCAACGACTATTTCTAAGTCAGGTCACATTTTGATGTTCCAGGTGGACATGAATGGGGGAGCGCTATTAGATCCACCCTACTATTCTGACTTTTTTACAATTATTACCTTTTTATACTTTATAATTTTATGATATCATTAGAATCATATTGCTTTTTTATACTTTTGAATAATTTTTATAATTCAATTACTTTTTATAATCTATATCCATTTATATTTATATAAATAAAAATAAACTTCAAAAGAAAAGACACCTCCTGTCTATACAGATGAGGAGCACCTTGGATCCGGCCATGTGGGTCAGCTGTGCTAGCAGAGAGCCACCCAGATAAACACAAAGATCACCTCTCTGGGGCACCTGGATGGCTCGGTCGGTAGAGCGTTCAGCTCTTGATCTGTGTTCAGGTCATGATCTCACTGTTAGCGGGACTGAACATGCTGACAGCATGGAGACTACTTGGGATTCTCTTTCTCCCTCTCTCTGCCCCTCCCTGACTCATGCTCTCATTCTCTCTCTCTCTCTCTCTCTCTCAAAGTAAATAAAAAACATTAAAAACAAAAGCTCACCTCTGAGTATGGGCCTTATATAAGGCCAGGGAGATGGTGCTCAGGGCATCCCTGCAGATAATGAGCTGCACTGAGCTGAGCACAGAGATCTGGAAGAAAGATCAAGTCTTTCCTTTGCTTGAAACTGTCCAGAGACTTCCTCCTGTCCTTGGAGTGGTTTTGTGGCTTGGCCTACAAGGTCCTCTGTGAACTGAGGGCCCTTTTCCATCTCTTCTCTTCCCCTCCCCTCTGGTGAAATAAACATAAAGGATATAAATTTTGTGAGTAAACTCCTGGCTATTATGAGGTAATAAGGGGGTCCAGGGGCTGCCTCTGCTCATCTTTGGTTTAAGTTCTCAGCCTTCTTAGAGCTCTTGATTTTCAGAAGGCTGAGTTCAGCCTGACCAGGACTGTGTGAAGATTTATGTTCCTGGGGTGGCCTGGACCCACACTCTCCTAGTAACCCCAGGAACTAAAGTGTGCACCAAAAAAGCATCTCTGCTTCCTAAGCACTTTTCCCCTCAGCTGAGAAGCCGGCTTGTCCAGGAACGCAGTGTGAAGCTGGATGCTTTCCAGCGCATAGAAGAGCTACAAAGTCAGCTTAATGACGCTGAGCGATTGTCTGTCCAGATGAGCTCACCAGGCGGTAAGCATGTCCCCTATTCTAGCTAGAACAAACCCCCAGGGTCTGGGGTCTGAATTGAAGGAGGGTCTCATGGGCCAGCCATGACAACCCAGTGGTTATTGCATAGGTGCTCCATGATGTCTGTTGAATGAATGAATGAATGAATGATACATGAATGAATAAAACTTAATTCTGATTTGCAGTCATAACTTTCTACTTTAGTAGAAAGGTGACTCCAGTCACCTTGGAGTACTGACATCCAATCCTAAAAGATTTCAGTCATAAAAACTGGTCTCAGGAGGGTGTAATGTACCACTTAAAGAACACTGGGTACTTTACTATATTTTGAAGCATCTTAATGTCTTGGGACATCAATGACCACGTTTCTCAAGTGTTATTTATAAATATATTATGATTCTTGGGTGCTGGGGGCTTGAGGAGTGCTATGGAAATGGCAATCAAGATAGCCCTCTGGGCAATGTAGCATAGAGCAGAGGCCAAACCCAGGATGTCTCTAAACTGGCTTCCTTCCCTATAAGTTGAGGATGAAATTAATTCCAAGTTCTTTTGTAGATCTGACTATCAAAAATATCATCAAATATCAATAACCAGGACTGAATAACTGCATATGTTGGTTACTATACTTTGACACTTTCATACTTGTGTGTCCTTTATGTTTGCTTTTGGCTCTTTACCAGTTGAATATATAAGATCTTTCACAAACAGAAAGATCAGTGTCAAAGATCAAGCAAACAAAGATGGAGTTACTTTGGGTTTGCTGAGAGCAGGGCTGGGCTCACTGGTAAAGCCCAGGGCTCTACCCTCTGCCTCTGTGCCTATTGCCTGGGCCCTGACCACAGGGGGAGGTTCCCCACCCCAGCTGTGCTGTCCAAAGAGGAAGAGCATCAAAAGTACTGAAGGGCCCTATTTTGGCCACTGACGCTGAGCAGTTCTGCACCTTGAACTCTCCTCTCCACACTCCATGGGATTTTCCCGTCTATCCCTTGCCCCTCTGTCTCCAGCCCAGCTAAGCACCCTTTTTTTTTTTTTTTTTAAAGTAAGCCCTACACCCAACGTGGAAGTTGAACTCAGGACCCTGAGATCAAGAGTCTCCTGCTCTGCTAGCTAAGCCATCCAGATGCCCCAGCCAAGCATCTTTTTAACCTCTTTTTGGCTTAATGTGTCCTTTCAAACTGCCCTCCATGTCCTCCAACACCTGCACATTTATGAAGGAGAAGCAGAGTGAGGCATGAGACAGGTGCAGGATGGGGCAGAACCCTAATTCCCAAGACTGGGGATGTGGCAGGAGTGAAAGAGAAGCCTCTTTCCCAGAAAGCAGAGCTAGAAGTTTCTCCTAAGCCCCAGCCCCCACCTGTCCCCCACTGCAGTGACTCATTGGAGGGGAGGGACTGGGTTGCACCTATCTATTTAATGCCCAGCACTCCAAGGGGACAGATATACTATTAATGTAACAAGGTAGAAGTCATTCCCACTCCTTTCTCAGCTGTTGTCCAGATGAAAGCATGAAGTGACCGAGGTCTCTCCTTTCTGTCGTGGTGGTAGCAGCAGCCACCCTGCTCCCTGCATCAGAAGCATCAGAAGCAAAGGCAGACTTAAGGAGCAAGCTCTCCTTACTTGGCATTAGCATGGTATCCCCTTAGGATCTTGCACCTCTTGAGGAACTGTAATATGCTCTAGTGCAGTTAGTCTTAAAATGCTTAAGGAAAAAAAAATGAAATCACTTGGCTGACAAAACTGTGAAGTGTTCAGAGGTAGACCAGCTTCAGTTTGCTTGATCCAGGTCTGACCTACTTCCCCGGGGCCTGACCCCTCTGTCTGCCCCTCTGGGCTCCAAGAATGCTGGGAGCAGAAAGGAAGTGGAAGTAACCCCTCGGGAAGCGAGATGACTGCCACTGCTGTCCCTTCCATCCTCTGTTCCAGCTCACATGGCAGGAGTGAGTGTAGAGATGGGACAATTAAAAAGGACCAGCCCCTGACTGGGCTGACTCAGGTCATATGCCCGAATTTGAACAAATCACGGAAGCCAGACACTAAGATGCTTGGTGGGTTTAAGCCCTGCTCACATGTCCCTCCCCTGGAGCTGAAGATGGGTCAGCTCACTCTCTCCTCTTCCCAGAAACTATTTTATATCTTCCTGGCCTCTTCAGATCCTCAGACGCTGTCCTCCTCCCCAGCCAACACTTTACCTCCAGTTTCACAGAGCCGTTAAAAGCCATCATGTGGCAGAGATGGCTGGGTGGCTCAGTCAGTTAAGCATCTGACTCTTGCTTTCCACTCAGGTTATGATCTCAGGGTTTGTGGGTTCGAGCCCCACATGGGGCTCTGCGCTGACAGCGTGGAGATTGCTTGGGATTCCCTCTCTCCCTCTCTCTCTCTGTCCCTCCCCTGCTCATGCTGTCTCTCAAAATAAATAAATGTTTAAAAAAATTTTTTTTAAAGCCATCACATGGGAAACCCCTCTATTTTTTGACCCCAGCCCACCTACATTAGGTACTCAGCTGCTTCTTGGTCCCTTCTGGTAGAATGGAAAATGTGCCCCGTTTCTTCCCTGGGCCAGTCCCAATGCTTGAGATTCCATTTGCTCCTAGCTTTTCAGGGACTCTGAACGATTATTTATCTGCTGTCTCTATATATACTCATATTTCCTACCCAACTACCCTTCTAATCTTGTAAACAACCATTATTATTGAGTAACACATGCCAGGATCACAAAATCCACCCTAAACTAAAATTAAACATCTACCCAGTTGGTTGAGGAATCTGGGAGCTATACTTTGTCACCCTGTAAGTCCAGTTAATTACCAAGTCCTATTAACTCGAATATCCCTAAGTTTGTCCACTCCTACCCACCATAGTCCAAGTCACCTATCATGTCCTTCTCTTTCACTTGGTCACGTGACCCGCAGGCAAATGATTCCATGCAGATTTTGACATCTTCATTCAAAATTGACAAAGTTGGATTAGATGCCCATTTCAAGCTTTTCTAAAATTTTGTGGATTAAATCTAGGCCCATATATTGCAACCAGAGATATAATTTAACATTTTCAACATTATAGGACTTATATCTCGGGCTCAGTACTCCCTGAGTTCTGCTTCCACATCATTCAGATACTCCCAGCAACACCTTTTAAAGACTAATCTTATGAGCAGTAAAATAACAAGAAGGATTCAAAGGCCAGAAACTGTAAGTAAAGATAAATTTGATTATATATTGGAAACAATGAAAAATGTAAATATGAAATTATGGTTTTAGGTTAGGTTTTTTCAAACTTACATTAAAAAATTATATATCAGGGCACCTGGGTGGCTCAGTCCGTTAAGCATCCAACTTCGGCTCAGGTCATGATCTCACGGTTTGTGGATTTGAGCCCTGCTTTGGGCTCTGTGCTGACAGCTCAGAGCCTGGGGCTTGATTTGGATTCTATGTCTCCCTCTGTCTCTGCCCCTCCCCTGTTCATGCTCTGTCGCTCTGTCTCTCTGTCTCTGTCTCTCTAAAAAGTAAATAAACATTAAGAAACATTATATACCTGGCTGTTATCTAGATACTTGGGTCTAGATAATAAAATTCTGGATTTCTCTTAAAAAGGCTTTCTCCATGAATTGTTGCCAAATTGATGTGTTTGTGGGAAGAAGGATGGTTCAGGGTTTCCTACTTTGCCATCTTGCCAATGCTACTCCTCAATAATAGAATTCTGATGTCAAAACAATTCAGCTCAAAAGCACTTACTCAATTACGTTTATTTATTTATTTTTAAATATGTTTTATTGTCAAGTTAGCTAACATACAGTGTATACAATGTGTTCTTGGCTTCAGAGATAGATTCCCGAGATTCATCATTTACGTACAACACCCAGTGCTTATCCCAACAAGTGACTCCTGATTTCAGCTCAGGTTTGAACCCAGGAACTGTGAGATTGAACCTGAGCCAAAATCAAGAGTCAGACACTCAACTGACTGAACCACCCAGGTGCCCCATTTCTCACACGTTTTTAAAACTTTCTGCTGTGCCAGGGAACTCAGATAAGAGATCTGATGCTGCTAGTTAAAAAAAAGTGTTTATTTAAATAAATGGATGTGGAAGTCAATGTCCACACTTTGCTGTGTTCTGTGTCTGAATTTCTTCTTTTTCTTCAGTCATCTACAATAATTAACTAGCAGTTCTCACAGTTCATGGGTTCAAGCTCCATATCGGGCTCCATGTTATTGGTGTGGAGCCTGGGAGCTTGGGATTCTCTCTCTCCCTTTCTCTCTGCCCCTCCCCCTCTTGCTCTGTCTCTCAAAAATAAATAAACTTATCAACAACAACAACAACATGTGAGAAATCTACCCTCCAAAGAAATTCTTGGCACACGGATTAGGTCCAGGTATAGCATGTATATGAAGATTTTTTTTTTAACCTTTCAGCTTTTAGTGTATGTAAAACAATATTTACACTCTCCTCTACTGCATAAGTATTACGCCTTTGCCCAATTGTTTTTCAGAATCCCCTCCAGACATTTCCATGTCAACACATTTAAAATTCTTCCCTCTTAGGAGGCAAACCATAAGAGACTCTTAAATACTGAGAACAAACTAAGGGTTGATGGGGGGTGGAGGAGAGGGAAAGTGGCTGATGGGCATTGAGGAGGGCACTTTTTGGGATGAGCACTGGGTGTTGTATGGAAACCAATTTGACAATAAATTATATAAAAAATAACTAAAAATAAATAAAAAATAAAATTCTTCCCTCTTGCTTTGAGAAAAATTAAAAGGAAAAGATTTAATCATTCTGTCAGAGAAATATGCCATTCTAAAGTCTCTTTTGAGGGTGTAATTCTGCAGCTGATAGTCTGGTTATTGGACCAAAAATTTGCTTCTAAACATGCAGTTAAAGAGTCATACACAGAAAGAGAAGAAACAGGTCAGGAATGTGCATTTGAGATCCTTGACCAAGTAGGGCCACCTTATTAATGCCCATCACTGGCTCACCTTACCAGTCTCTGTGTAGTCATCTTTCACCAAAAGGTAAGATTCTAGTATATGTCTATTTGTTTCTGCAAAAGCCTTTTCCAAAAGGAAGCAATATTCAGTTGATGTGTATGGAACCACAAGGGCTTTTAAGACTCCCTCCATCCCCATTTCACTCCCAAAAGCAAATGTTGCTGTTGTGGGGGAGGTCTGCGATCACAGCTCATGGTTGAGAGGCTGCTTAAGTAGCCAAATGCATCAGAGGAGAGCCACTGTATTTGAAAGATTCAGAAGGGTGATGGTCTAAATAAACCCTAATAAATAAGGGAATGTTTTGTGGGCCCATTGGCGTGTGAATAGAAACCCCAAGCAATAAACCTAAGATCCAGGAAAGGCACAAAAGAAATGGAGCCTCTTCAAATCTATCTAAGCTCTGACTTCTTAAGGCCTAAGAGACAAATCAAATAAATGCATATTGAAGAATAATTTATACATGGCTGGAATGTAAGACCACCAATGATTTTCTTAACAAAACAAAACAAAACACTGCACTAACACAAATGATAAAATATTAAGGAATTTTTAGATTACTCCACATATGGGATATCTTTTTCTCCTTAGCTGGAAAAGGCTTCCTTTGATAGACTAATTCTTGACCAGTTCACTTTATGACATGCGTGAAATATAAGAAGGCACACTAAATGGCCTAACCCAGACTGAACCAATGATCTCAGTCTTAGTCGTAACGGTGACTTTTAATGGTATCTCCAATATCTATTTAATCTTTGTATTTCAGGTACCTATTAAACACAAAAAAAGGATTGACAACGTCTTTCTACCCAATGTGGTAGAAAATCTTCACCTTTCAGCTTTTCAAGTTCACACGGCTCCATCCATAATCCCAGAAGGACCCAACTGGTAATCATATACCCTCCAAGTTTTCTTTCTTTTTTTCTTTTTTAATGTTTATTCTTGAGAGACAGTGAGAGAAAGAGCATGAGCAGGGTAGGGACAGAGATAGAGGGAGACACAGAATCCAAAGCAGGCTCCAGGCTCCGAGCTGTCAGCACAGGGCCTGACACAAGGCTCGAACCCACAAACTGCGAGACCATGACCTGGGCCAAAGTCGGATGCTTAAGCAACTGAGCCACCCAGGTGCCCCTCCAAGTTTTATTTCTTTGAGCATCCGAATGAATAAACATGATTCGAACCTCCATTAAACCTTTATCTAATTTTTATTATCAGTATCAGAAGATATAGTATGGAATGATTGAGATGATAACATCCTAAAAGTTCCAGGTGAAGTAGGATTTGGCCTTACATCCTAAGACAGAAGAGTTGATTTGCATTTCTACAACCTAGGGCCTTTGGCCAACAAGCAGCCTCACATTATGGGTTCTAGATTACTGACGAGGTGTGTTAGCCAGGAGAGATGTCATTGCTGCTAAGCAGTATTTATTAACAGTGAAAAACCAGCACAGAGATGCATCTAAACAAACTTCAAAGCACTTATTGCTATTTGTTTCACTTAAGAACATCATCCTCTCTTAATAGTTTTTTTTATTCTTCCTACAAATACTAAAATCCTCTTTAGACTTTTGTAAAGTCCTAATCCAAGTCTTTTTGTTCAGACAAGAAAATGTATCTTGGGTAAAGGAATAAATAGGTAGATGAATGAACAGAGTAGGCCAGAGAAATATTTACATACATAAATTTATACATGATATATGTAGCTTTTCAAATTAAGGAGAAGGTTGAGTCTATTCGAAGTAGATTAAATTATCACCTTACACCATACATAATGAATTCTGAATGGATTCCAGATATATATGCGCGCACACACACACACACACACAGACGTATATACAAACGTATTTCTGAAATAGAACATGAAAAACAAAAGCCAAAAGGAAGATTGATGACTTTGATATCAAAGCTAAAAATTCAGCATGACAGGTGCATGGGTGGCTCAGTCGGTTAAGTGTCTGACTTCGGCTCAGGTCATGATCTCACGGTTCATGGGCTTGAGCCCTGCATTAGGCTCTGTGCTGACAGCTCAGAGCCTGGAGCCTGCTTCGGATTCTGTGTCTCCCTCGCTCTCTGCCCCTCCCCCGCTCATGTTCTGTCTTTCTCTGTCTCCCAAAAATAAATTTTAAAAGGGTTAAAAAAATTAAAAAATAATTTTTTTAAATGTTTTTATGTATTTTTGAGACAGAGAGAGACAGAGCATGAGCAGGGGAGGGGCAGAGAGAGAGGGAGACACAGAATCTGAAGCAGGCTCCAGGCTCCAAGCTGTCAGCACAGAGCCCAACACGGGGCTTGAACTCACAGACTGTGAGATCATGACCTGAGCTGAAGTCAGATGCCCAACTGACTGAGCTACCCAGGCGCCCCCCCAAAAAAATGTTTTTAGTTCAGTATGACAAGGTATGGTGCCAGTTATCAACTTATGAGCTCTTAGCTCTAAATTCATCCTTGTCTGCTGTGATGTAATTAATATGGGCCATGAAAATATTTCTTCTTCACCAACTACAAGATATTAAGCTTTGTCAGTAGAGAGTACTGGAGGGACACTGGAGGAGGGTTTCTTTTCCAGATTCTGGGGTGCTTCTCTAGGCAGCCTCCTGCCACGGGTGTGACTTCTGCAGCATGAGGTTTCCGTAGTGGATGCGGCTTCGTGGTGGATGCCATTGGCAAGAGGCCCTCCGTGTAGAGCTTTCTCCTCCTGCCCCTCCTTTTGTGAGGGCTGCTTCACAGCCTCAGTGAACTTCTCTGCCATCCAGTGAGCCGTGGTCACACCCTGTCCAAGGAGGTCACACCCTCTCCAATGGATGTCAGCCCTGGAGGGTAATGGCTGCTCACTATATCTGCTCTCCCTATATTCTTCAGAACTCTCTTTATTACTGATCAGCCATTCCTCCCATTACTTCAATCTCTTGTTATAGTTAATAAGTCTTTATATTAAACTTTCTCCAGTTTGATTACTGTGTGCGTCTGTCTTCTAATTGGCCCATGAATAATACAGAACTGATACCAGTAGTGGAGGGTTCCTAGGGGACAGACTCACAAAGGTGGGATTTGGGGATTTGTTTGGTTGCACCCTTGGGCTTGAACATGGTGCTGAGCTCCTTGACAATAGGAAATGGAACGCTAGTAATCCTTTGCATGCAGTGGCATGACAATTAACCAAGCTGTTATCCACGGTAGGTGGTGATAAAGTACCTACTGAAGTGTGTGCTTTGGGAGCCCAAATTGCTACCACACTGACTCTCAGGGCAGTAATGATGACCATAAATACTGGGGTGTGGGATGGACTTTTTTGGATGCACTTCAGCACTTAAGAAGAAAATGACAAGTACTGGTCCTTTAGGCTTCCACAGTAGCCTTTTAAATCTATTTCTTGTAGTCACAGGGGTAATACTGCTAAAAATGAAACACACATTTTAATTGTGCAGAACACTGAATTACAATGACAGTTGAATTCACAGTCCTGTCATTTCTCACTGCTGTTGAGATGGGCTCTCTCATTTCAGTGGTCAGGATGCAATCCCAGAATAGCAGCAGGCAATTGCCAAGGACAAGGTGGGTATGTCTATTATAAAAAGGGCAGCAGGGACATCTCAGTAGTCAGATTACAGACCTGGCACAGAGAGATCTTTTGCTGGTCAATGTGTTCCCCCAAATGAGAACATATGGGCAGCCAACTAGAATACTACTCCATCTATATAGGAGGAAAAACTCTGGTAGCCTAAGCCTGGCCTGAGTCAGCACAGTGGAGTGTCACAGTCTCTCACCCAGATTCCATACCTAAGTCAGTTCACACAGCAGGGCCCCTTGCCTGCAGGGGAGGCTGGATCCCCCTTGAGAAAGGACCCTATACCACTGCTGCAGGTACATTGTAAATCTTCTTCCAAACATTTTACTAAGGGATCTTCCATCATTTGCTAGAGTTACTGTTCATCAGAAAGGAAGAACATCCAGACCATTTGGTGAAGAATAAACACTACGTCTAAATCAATTCTAATTCCTGGGAACCCAAAACACACTGTGGCTCAGCAAACTGAAGGCTTACAGTGATGTAATAGAAGGAGTCACATGTTCAAATTACAGTGGACTCAGTTGGTCCACGGACCCACCAGGTGGTTTTATGTCTGCAGTTTGTGAATGTATAATTGAAACAGACATAATTAACAACTGAAAGGACTCTTATATTGGTTCTCTAACCCATGAGTTGAAGTCTCATTATAGTAGGAAGGGATAATTGGAAGCCCCTGGAACTTTCCCTGTTGAGAAAGCAAACTAGAAGCAACATTACATCCCTGGGGAAACTGCAGAGATTAATGCCACCATCAAAACTTGAAGGAAGCAAAGGTGATGATACCTATCACATCACTACTTAACTCACCACTTTGGCCTGTGCAGAAAATAGGTGGATATTGGAAAATGACTAGGGACTATCAAGTTCACACCTTAATCAGATAGTGATCCCAATTGCAGCTGCTATCTCAGATGTAGTATCTTACAGGGGTAAATGAATATCCTCCTGGTATTTGTTATGCAGTTATTGACCTAATTTGCCATGCCTTTCGCTCCATAACAAATTGTAAGGACCATGAGGAGCAGTTTGCTTTTACCTGGTAGAGCAGCAGTATTCTGTCAAAGTCTTGACTTAAGGCTTTGTCAGTTCTGTTCCCTGCCATGATATAGTCTGTAGACACCTTGATCATCTGATAGTCTACAAAAATCACATTGGTCCACTATGTTGATAACATTATGCTGATTGTGTATGATGAATAGAAGGTAGTAAGTGCTTAGGTGCCTTAGTAAGACCTACAAGAACTAGAAGGTAAAGGGCAGAATTCCACAACACTTTAGGCCTATTAATCCCAATGAAGCTTCTTGGGGGTGCAATGGTTTGGAGCATGTTAAATATCCCCTTCCAAGAAGAAACAGGTTGCTTCATCTCACACTACGTACAATGAAAAACAAAATCATGATGCGCAGTAGGTCTTTTTGGATTTTGAAGGCAACATGTACCATATTTGAGTTTGCTATTTCAACCCACTCATAGAGCAATGTATAAGATTACTAACTTTGAGTGGGGACCAGAGCAAGTGAAGGCTCTGTCATGAGTTTGAGTTACAGTATGAGCTGTGCTGTCATATAGGTCCTAAGATCTATAGGTCCAAAGCTAATGATACTAAAAGTATCCTGGCATGTATGGAGTCTTTATCAAGCCGAATCCCAGGGCAGAACCCTAAGATTTTGAAGCACATCTATGCCCTCTGCTGAGGATAACTATTCCACTTGTGCCTTGCTTGAGACTTATTACCCAACCATGGGATAGTAGGTGAACATGTGGCCTGAGCTTCACATCATGATTTGATGTTGGAGTATCCACCTTGTCATAAACTTGAGCATGCACAGCAGCAATCTATCATCAATGGAAATAGTATACAATTGACCTACCCTGCTTGAGCAGGTCTGAAATGTACAGATAGCTTCCGTGAACATGTGGCTCAGACTCTTTCAACACCAACTTCTGTTGCATCCTCTTCCTCAATCAATAGCTCTAGCCTTAGGTGTTCCTAACAACTAGCTAGCCAATAAAAAATTTAAGCCTGGTTTATAGACAGGTCTGTATGACATATTGGTTCCACCCAAAAGAGGATAGCTGCAGCACTAGGTTCCACTCGGGGGTGAACCAAAAGGGGGTGAAAGAAAACCCTTCCCTGTGAGAATTGTGAGTAGTACATTTGGTTGTCCACTGTGTCTGATCTGAGACATGGCCCGAAGTACATATCCACACTAATTCCTGGGTAGTTGCTAATGGTCTGGCTGTGTAGTCAGGGACTTGGAAGAAACATTAAAGGTTGGTGACAAGTAAATCTGGGAAGAAGTACATGGATGGATCTTGGAATGGGAACACACTGTGAAGGTATTAGTGTCCCATGTCAGTGCCCAGCAAAGGGCATCTACAGCAGAGAAGGCTCTTAATCGGGTGGATAATATAATGCACTCTATGGGTATCAGTCTAATTCCCCAGCTACCCCAGTGCTTGCTCAATGGACCCATGAACAACGTGGCCATGGTGGCAGAGCTAGAGGCTATGCATGGTCTCAGCCAACAACATGGATTTTCCCTTATTAAGGCTGTCATGCATTACTGACAACTGCCTAATCTGTGAAGAGCCAAGACCAATACTGAGGTTGCAATATGGTATTACTCCCGTGGGTAACAGCCATCCACATGATGGCTATTAAATTGGGCCTTTGCCATCATAGAAGAGATTCTTCAGTAGAATAGACATATTCTGGATTTGGATTGCCTTCCTGTGTCTATAATGCTTCTGCCAGCACTACCATCTGATGCACATACTCACAGAATGTTTTATCATGGCATTTCCTATAGCATTGTTTCTAATTAAGGAATAAACCATTTCACAGTAAAGGAAATGTTGCAGTGAACTCATGCCCACGAAATTAACATCCCTGGACACATGGAAATGGCTGGTCTAATTGAAAGGTGGAATAATTCACTGAAAACTCAGTTGTGACAGTTGGGAGATACCACCTTGAAAGGATGGAGCTGTTTCACAGGAGGTGACATATGAATCCAGGAATCAAGGGGTAGAAATGGAAGGGACACCTCATGATTATACTTCTCATCTCAACAATCTCAAGCTGTGCTGGTTTGGAGGTCTTAGTTCCCAAGGTATGTTTCAACCAGGGACACAACGATGGGTCTGTTGATACAAGATCTAAGATGAGACTGCCATTTGGCCATCTTGGGATGGGATTCATAAGCCGCTAAACCGATAGGCAGCAAAAGGTGTTACTCTACTGGCTGGAATGGTCAATCATGATTACCAAGGGGAGATTGTACTGCTGGCACACAATGGAGGAAAGACCACATCTGGAACACGGGATTCTCTGGGTGCCTGAGTACTTCCATACCCAATAGAAAAGGTTGATGAAAACTATAACAATCAAAGCAGGTAGAACAGTGTGACTCAGACCTTTTGGTAGTAATATTTGGGCCACCACCAGGAAAACAACCACTTGAGGTTCTCAGCAAAGGCAAAATAAATATTAAGTAGTGGGAGGTCATCATTTACAGAAACAAGGGCTTTAAGGTTTGAATCCACCTGTTGCCTGCTCCACCATTAGAATGAAAATGGAGCTGAACCATATGAATGAATATTTCTTAGCTAGGTGGTGTGTGTTTTGTCAGCAGACGGTACTGGAGGGATTTTTTTTCCCCCTGGTTCTGGGCAAAACTTGAGCAGTGCACCTAGCTTAGCAGTGGAGTATCACTGGCGTGGTACCTCCTGTGCCTGGTTTACCCTGCATCCCCTTGGATGACTTCAGATTACCACTGGGATAACATCCCCCCAGGCATAGCTGCCTAGCAGTGGATTTGCAGCTACCACTAACTTCATCCACAGAGCCAAGGTTGTATCCTGAAATTTCTGGAATTCAGCTTGAGAACAGTTAGTGGCCACTTCTTATACTTGCTATGCCAGTATCGTTTTGAATTCTTTACTGCTTGGCAAATTATTTCTTAAAATATTACAGATAATATGCCCCATCACTCCAATCCACTCTTATAGTTAATATTTTATGCTGAACTTTCTCTGTTCTTATTATGTGGCTTGTCTCCTGATTGTCCTCTGATGATAAAGACACCACAAAGACTTGAAGAAAATATTGACTGATGAAAATCCACTGACCACAGATTAGCTCCCAGCATATTTCAAGATAAAAAACCCTCCAATTGTTAAGAAAAGACAAAAGAAAAACACAATTCACAGAGGAAGTACAAATAAGCAAATAAATCATTTCACTTACCAGAGTATTAAAATTTAACTTTGCCAATATCAGATGGAAAAGATACAGAAAACTTCCTGCTACCCCAGCTTGTGGGAACTGGAAGGCAATCTCGGTCTGTTAAAATTTTCAAAGTGTAAACCCTATGATGCAGATTTCCACTTCTCTGCATTTACTCTAGAGATATATTCACACATAAACAAGGGGGAGGGCGCAAAGATACTCTCTGCAGAAGTGTCAGTAAAAACTAAAAATTGCAAACCTACGATCCTTCAATAGATGCTTATGATACTCATACTACATATGCCAACAGAGAATTTAAGAATTTGGTGTGCGACATACACTAACTTGTAAAGATCTGCAAGTAGTAAGCAAAAAGAAGTTGCAGGATGATGTTAAAATAAAAATCCACATTATGTATTTTCTAAGGGTACGTAATAGTACATAAAAAATGCTGGGGGGGGGGGGATTGTTTCACACCAGACCAGTTCCAGTAATTACTTCTGCAAAGTGGAGGGCAAGCAAGGGAAAGGGACTGGGGGATGGTCAAAGCCGACATACTTATGTTGAATAGTTTAAGGAAAAATAATTTGAGAATACGTATTTACATATTCCTTAAATTAAAAATTAAGACTTTAAAATGCTCATCTTGAAAATAGAATAAAATAAAGTAAAATCCTCATCTTGAACATTTTCTTCCGGCGAAGATGAAGAACCTGTACTTACCCTCACACTGAAAAACGGGACAACACACACACAACAGTAGTTTCCAATACATTTGACTTTGAGCAAAGAACAGTGATCCTTGAAAGACAGGGAACGATCAACCCAGCTTACTGCCTTGCATTTCTAAGCAATGATGTAGGGAGGACACCCAGACAGAACCCAGTGGACTTCCTGAGTTCAGATGGAGCTAAAGTCAAGGCAGTTGAAAGCAGCTGGAGTTCCCAGAGCAAAGGACCAGGGTGGCAAGCCGCGGAAAGAGGAGCTCCAAAGATCTGCAGAATGTAGTCTCAGCAACATATTGGTCAGCACGTGCACAAGCTAACTACCAAAGGCTGGGGAAGCTTTCCAGGAAAAAGTATCTGGGAGCCTGCCCCAGGCTAGGAACAGAGCCTGTTCCCACTAGCCCAGACTAGAAAGCCCCATAATCCAGGGACACTGGGTATACAGAAAGGTCTTGCCTCAGAACTGGGGAACCCTAGAATAAGTGCTGCTCTGCTCTCACCTAACAAAACTTAAATGCAAGACCTAGAAGGATCATACTGTTTGTTTTCTGTGTCCCAGAACCAAAATAACCAGCATCAAACAGCTTACATGCAAAGAAACTTACATGCAAAGAAACTTACAACTTACATGCAAAGAAACAGGAAAAGTATGACCCATAATGAACAAAAAAAATCAAACTGACCCAGTATTAGAATTAGCAGACACAGGCATTTAAAAAAAGCGTACCACTGTATGATCAAAAACTAAAGATTGAGTATGTAGACATGGAAGATAAAAACCATGAAAAATGAACTTCTAAAAATGAAGACACCTGAAATGATAAACACACTGGATGAAACTATCATTAGGGTTAGACTGTAGCATTAGTGAACTTGAAGACAGTAATCTGACATGAAACAGAGAAAGATTAAAAAACCGAATAGTGCATGGATCAGCTGTGTGTCAACTTCCGGCAGCCTCTGTGTCATCAGAACCCCTAACAAAGAAGGGAAAGGACAGAAAAAAATATATGAAGAAATAGTAGTTGAAAAATGCCCAAATCTGATGAAAGGCATATATCCTAAGAGACCCAACAAACCCCAAACAAAAGAAATGATAGCACAGCATGTCATAATCAAATTGCTCAGACCAGCAATAGAGAAAAAAATCTTAAAAAGCAACAAAGGAAAACAAAGATATGTACTGAGTAACAGAAGATGAAGATGACTGATTTCTCAGAGAACAATGCAATTGAGAAGACAATGGACCAACATCAGTAAAGTGCTGTAAACACTAAAGCACTAAAAATTTCTAAAGCTCTGTCCTCCACTGGCGAATCCGTATCTTAGTTACTATCTGCTGGTCTTGTATAACAAGAGAGTAGACAACCCATCTCCAAACAGACTGATAAGGTAAATTCACTATCATTAAATTTCATAATCAAAATGCAAAAAACACTTCAGTTAATAAAAATTTGAACAGATTGATTCAATAAACATGTAGATTTATTTTAAATCAGTTTGGTACATGATACAGGTTGGTTTTACAGTTTTTAATGAACTGAAATAGAAATTTCTAAATACAGCAGTGTCTGCCTGTGCAACAAATATCTGTAAGGTAAAGTAAGGTGTTTTGATAGAACTACATCCGCATGAACAAATCAGAAGAAAATCTGAAACGGTTTCTAATATACCTTCTGGATTTAAAAAAAAACAAATTTTTAATGGCTCAAGATAGTAAATTGCTAAAGGAAGGGGGGAAAAGGCCATGAGTTCTGTTGTAAGAGCTCTTCTTGCAAAATCTAACTGGTTTCATATTATGGTTTTGTTATTAGAGCAATATTCAAAATTACAGAAGATGAGAAGGCGCCATCAGCTACATTTTCACAAAAATTGCTGTATGGACATTAATGTGTGATAAGGTATTCACATCTACGTAAATGATAATTATACCACTGTAGCTAAATTTTGCCACTTTGGGAGGAATGGAAATTCTGTATATTTTCAAATGAATCTTGGATCTTCTAGCACTCACTAAAAACTAACAGCCATGGCACCATAATAAAAGTTCTTGTGAGGTTCCTAGAACTAATTACTAATGAATATTACTAATGAAAACACAAAAATGTGAGGTAAACCTACCTTTTCCCAAAAACCTTTGAAGCCAGAGATTTTAAACAATTAAGGCACTTGAAAAGATTAGGTGTATGTACAAATGTGCAAGTAAAACAAACTTTAGCTGTACCAGCAAGTAACAAAGAAACAGTAAATCTTCATTTTAAGAACCTTGAATATAATCTAAACGCAAGGAATTTTGGCTAATGAAATGGACCAAAGCAACTTGTCATCTCCTACTACAAAATACTGAAAACCAAGTGCTAAACTCAGCCCTTAGAGGCTAAAGAAACTAAAAACCTTTAATGACCTAGAAAAGCAAAAACTTTCTTAAAACTACTGTAAACCTCTGAACTAATCCAATATGTCAAAGGCAGGGGAGAAGTCTCCCTCTAAAACTGAAAAAACTAGTGCTGCCTAAGAAAACTAAAAAAAAAAAATTAAAGTATGCATGCTTATATTATACTACGGGAACAGAAACTAAAAAGAAAGGACAGGAGAGAAGGAGAAAGCAGGAGAGAAAGAGAAAGAAGAGAAAGCACAATCTGTCTATCCTGGGCAATCATCATTAAAAACCTACAGTAATCCAATCAACCAAAAATCCCTAGATTTTCTAAAATTACACTGGTCACATTTCTGGTCTCAAAACTTAAAGTGATTGTCTCATTAAAGAACTAGTAAATGACTCTAAAACAACTTCCTTCCTTCTTGCCTCATAAAAATAGTTACTTTTCAAGAAAGCTTGGTGAAAATCCTTTCATGGTACAACAGTGTTGAAGTACAAAGGAAAATCTAATTAAATCAACTTTAGCTTTATACTTTTTAAAAGCCTAAGAAAAATGCTGGGAGGTTCAATATGTGAAGGCTTTCAGCTTTGTGGAATATCTTTTAGCTTAACTTGCTCGGGTCTGAAATCAAATAGTATTTAGTTAAATACTAACAGTATGATATCTAAAAGCAGGTTTACTACATCTTGTCAACAGTTACATCATCAGACCAACCTTTACCTTCCTTAATGTAAAAGAACAAATCACAAACATTTTAAGTTACAGTCTACCTTTCAGTCTGTCTTTTAAGGCACTGTTCTTTATTTTCTCAGTGATATAAGGTGCTTTACAAAGATGAACAATAACCTGCTATTCTTTAATGGTTTGTATCCTTTCCATTCGTTCCTTTAAATCTGGAATGTAATTCCCTGTGTGGCATCTTATTTCTAATGTAGAAAAAATAACTGCTATTGAGCACAAAATTTTACTCTAAAGATACAGTTTACTCTAAGGATACTAAATTTATAGATTTATTCCACTTTTGAAAGGACAGCCAAAAGTCCACCCGATTGATGCTCATTTGGCACATTCTTCTCAATTCTGGTCACTAGACTACATCCTGAGTTAGGATGAAAATAATGCAGCTTTCAGGCTTTAAAATGACTAAATTTAAACTGCCAAAAGAGTCATGAGGTTGTCTGCGCAGGACAATGTTTTCCATCACTTACAGAGTTACATTTGGTACATCAAGAAGAGAGAACATAATCCCACAGCAGCAGCCATTTAAAATAAAAGAAGACAGCCACAAGGATTCATGCAGAATATTTTAAATATTCCTGTTGAGCAAAATGATTTAAGTGATTTTTCTTCAAGGACGATGCTCCAAAACATCCTATATGCATCCTTTGAAAATTTAAAGATCCTGGAATAGCGTCTTCCATGTGGGACATCTCGAAAGATAATATTTTGGTTTCAGTGAGTTATACACCAGTCCTTGTTAATTTAATGGGTCTGTTTACAGAGTGTGGTAGTTTCGTTCTTTCGATTTGCAGAATTTATAGAGAAAGAAAATTACAGCCTGCACACCCAAGACGAGGACAATTCCTCCAATGAAACTGGCTGCATCAAAGGTAGACTTCCGTCCAGGTTGTGAAGTCGGAGTTAAAGTGGTATTAGTCGTACCTGTTAAATAAGAGCGGAAAAATAACACTTGGTAAGTCTCACGATCCTCTATCATAATTTCAAGACCCACCTGAGCTTCTACTTGGCCATGTGCTCAATTCTATAAAGCATTTGCTCTTGGGTCAAGTCTTTACAGCTAGAATCTATCCCTAATTAAGGAAAACAACCATTTATCAATCCCATTCACTCCATCCAGCAGTATCAAGCAGTCAATGCTACCATACAAATCCAAACACAAAACTAACAGCAAAACATTCTCCTGGTACATAAATTATGCCCTGGGAACATGTAAAGCACTTTAAAAATGTGCAATTTCTTCAGACTACATATATTTTTACTTAATTATTACAGTAAATATTAATATTTGTTACGGTAAATACTTGAACATTCGTACAACTTTTGAATTTTACTAACTACATAAGGTAAGTAAAAATTTGGTTGCAATTCTTCAAATCACAAAAATTACCTTAAGTATCTACAATTTATAATTCCAACAAGCAAAAAACCTCATTATTAAAGGTACCGTAAATCTTGCTCGGCAAATTTTATGAGCATTACCAAACCATATGGAAAAAAAGCAAACAAGTTTGAATTCCTTTTCCAGAGAGTAAAATGATTCTAGAGAAAACAAAACATAAATTTCTTTTCAGGGAGTAAAACGTTTCAAGTGGAACACCATCCATTTTACTAAAAAGCAATTTCATACTTAAATGTTTCTTTTTTCTTAAATCGAATATCAAATAGACACTGGTTGTAGTGGCTGTTTGATAAGCTGGCCACTTTAAAATTAATTACAACTGTTCCGTATTTCTTCCTGTGAAGACAAAATGGCTTCCTTGAAACCAAGAGAAAGGTAGCACAAGAATAAGCGAAAAGAATAAAAAAACCATAAAAGAACAGTATTTTAAATACAGAGAGGAGGATTTATAACCTACAATCATCTGTGCCATAAACTGAATATGATTTCATTTATAATACAAATTATTAATAAAGTTACTCTTCAGATGCACTTTTAGTATCCAAAATCTATGAAAAGCTCACCAAACTCCACACCCGAAAAACAAATAATCCAGTGAAGAAATGGGCAGAAAATATGAACAGACACTTCTCTAAAGAAGACATCCAGATGGCCAACAGGCACATGAAAAGATGCTCAACGTCGCTCCTCATCAGGGAAATACAAATCAAAACCACACTCAGATATCACCTCATGCCAGTCAGAGTGGCTAAAATGAACAAATCAGGAGACTATACATGCTAGAGAGGATGTGGAGAAACAGGAACCCTCTTGCACTGTTGGTGGGAATGCAAACTGGTGCAGCCACTCTGGAAAACAGTGTGAAGGTTCCTCAAAAAATTGAAACTAGATCTACCCTATGACCCAGCAATAGCACTGGTAGGAATTTATCCAAGGGATACAGGAGTGCTGATGCATAGGGGCACTTGTACCCCAATGTTTATAGGAGCATTTTCAACAATAGCCAAATTATGGAAAGAGCCTAAATGTCCATCAACTGATGAATGGATAAAGAAATTGTGGTTTATATACACAA